CAGAGCTCTGCGGGCTCAGGGACGTGGCACCGCATGCCAAGCGACGCCTGTGCCCTGCAGGCCAGTGTCCACGGCCAGGCCACAGACGCTGGTCAGACGGGGAGACCGCACGTCACACATCGGCTTCTACAGTCAGCAAACCTACTCTCTGCATTCTCTGGACAGAGAGATACCTTTTGAATACTAACATTAAAAAAAAATGTTTTTATTGATTTTAGAGAGGAAGGGAGAGGGGGAGAAACATCGATCCGCTGCCTCCTGCCCCCCCTCCTGGGGGTCGAGCCTGCACCCCGGGCACGTGGACCGTCCGTCTCTATTTTGAGAATTTTGAACATTTAGGAAAGTTGACAGAGTAGAACACTAAGCAGCTGCGTTCTGCCCCCGGGGCTGGCCAGTCGCTCACGTTTTGCCGCGTTTGCCGCGTGGGAGCCAACATTCAGTGCTCCGTTCCCTTTTTATGGCCAAATAATGTTCCGCTGTATGGACAGACCGCCTTGTGTCTCCACTCTGCAGGAATCCGAGTGTGTTGGACACGCACTCACTGCATATGAATAACTTCCGTGGCTTTTCCACTCGAATGGGGATTCCTCTCTCAGGGCGAGCGGGAGGGCAAACTGCGGACCGGAGGGTGGCACTGTGCCCGCCGCCAACGCTTCCTCCTCCGCATGTCGCAGCCTGATGCTCGCCTGCTACGCCGGACACCTGGACGTCGTGAAGTATCTCCGAGGACACGGCGCTTCGTGGAAGGCCCGCGACCTGGGCGGCTGCACGGCTCTGCACTGGGCCGCCGACGGGGGCCACTGCCACGTGGTCGAGTGGATGCTGAAGGACGGCTGCGAGGTACGGCCTTCCGCCCCGAGCGCGGGCGTGGGTGAGAGCCCAGGGTGCCCGCCGCAGGGCCCGGGAGGCGGGGGCCTCGCAGCCGGACCCTGGGGGAGCTTCTCTGACTCCCCAGCGAGAGGCTCCTGAAGGTCACTGTGGAGCTGGTATGAGAGGATCGTGGAAAGAGAGCCGGAGCTGAGGCCAGAGCGGGACCGACCGTGCCCAGGTCCACGCTGACGCCGTCTGGTCTCTGTCCGCGCCCTCCTTCACTTCTTCAGTCCGTCACGGGGCCTTTCCGAGCATCCAGATACGCCCCAGGTGCTGGGGACCCGAAGACGCTGGGGACGCTTACAGACCGTAGCTCCCGTTGCTTTGAATTAGGTCATTTTCATGCTCGGTTTGCTTTAAAGATTAGTCACGATAGAACTTTCCAAAGAGCAAGCCGGCTGTGTCAAGAACAGGAGAGTTCGGCCCCGGCCGGTTTGCTCAGTGGTTAGAGCGTTGGCCCGGGGCCTGAAGGGTCCTGGATTCGGTTCCCAGTCAAGGGCACGCACCTTGGTTGCAGGCTCGATCCCCGGTCCCAGGGCGCATGCGGGAGGCCACCAGTTGATGTGTCTCCCACACCCATGTTTCTGTCTCTCTCACTTCCACTCTCTGAAAAGCAATGGGAAAAATAGCCTCAGGTGAGAATAAAAAAACCCAAAGCCCCCCAAAGATTTCAGCTCTTGGTGCCTCTGCCGGAGGCGGGCACGTTGTGCTGCTTTGGGCAAATGCCGTCGGAAGGGCACATGTGACTTTGCCAGTGGAAGCGGAGCCTGGGCTCCTGAAGCCGGGGGCCTGGAGGCGGCTCGGTTTTTGTACCTGCTGATAACCTTGGAACCTTTAGTTCAGGACTTCAAAGGCGTTCAGTAGAATTTTCGAGGCGTGGGAGGATGGAATGATGGACAGATGCCCCCCGGTTACGGTCTTCAGATGGCTCAGAGTATTGAGAAAGTAAACTGATGGCCCAGAAAACAAACTCCAGTCGAGAAGAGTCACGTCTCCTGGAAGATTTGTTCTAGTTTGTCTCTGAAGGGCGGTTGAGGGGCGTCCAGGCGTACGCTGTGGGCCCTCAGGATTCCTGCTGCCCCTCCCAGGGGCCTGAGAAAAGGGTCCCTCGTGGGGAAAATCTCAGTCATTAGGTAATTCCTTTGAAAAAGTTTTTATTTTATTGATTTCAGAGAGAGGAAGGGAGAGGGAGAGAAACATCAGTGATGAGAGTCATTGATGGGCTGCCTCCTGCACGCCCCCGACTGGGGATCGAACCCACAACCCAGGCATGTGCCCTGACCTGGAATCGAACCGCGACCTCCTGGTTCATGGGTCGATGCTCTACCACTGAGCCACACTGGCCGGGCCTCATCTTTTTCCCATGTGAACAAAATGTGGACGAAGCTCCCAGTGAGGACTCCCGGGGCGTCTCAGCCCCTCTGAGGGGTCCCTCATACAGCTGCTCACCCCAGATCGGCCTGAATGAAATGAGCACGGTCCACTCACCCCTTGCTAAGTCTAGAAAGGCTGCTTTCTGAATTAGGGGAATTTGGGCAAATCAATATTATGTTTCTGATGAACGCCCTTACAGAAGAGGAACTGCACTAAGAGCTCTGCCCATGGCCTCCCAGGTCGACGCCACGGACGCCGGCTCAGGCTGGACCCCACTCATGAGAGTGTCCGCGGTCTCGGGGAACCAGAGGGTCGCCTCCCTGCTAATTGAAGCTGGAGCCAACGTGAATGTGAAGGACAAGGGTGGGAAGACCCCTCTAATGGTAGGTCCTCCACACACAGCCCGGCCTCCAGGGGGCACAGGGCCGCGGTCTCTCTGCGACCAGGCAAGTCCGTGCGTCCAGCTGTGTCCCAGCCCTGGGTTGGGTTGTGTGGTTCCCCATCGGCCTGTTAACAAGGGTATGGCAGTCACCATCATACACACGCACACACACACACACTTATATAATTTTATTTATTTTTATTTTTATTTTTAATACCTCTCTATTGATTTCAGAGAGAGGAAGGGGGAGAGAGAGAGAGAAACATCAGTGANACACACACACACACACACTTATATAATTTTATTTATTTTTATTTTTATTTTTAATACCTCTCTATTGATTTCAGAGAGAGGAAGGGGGAGAGAGAGAGAGAAACATCAGTGATGAGAGAGTCACTGATCGGCTGCCTCCTGCTCGCCCCCTGCCGGGGGTCGAGCCTGCAGCCCGGGCCTGTGCCCCGACCCAGAATCAACCAGTGACCTCCTGGTGCACAGGACGATCGATGCCCGGCCACCACGCACAGCGGCCGGGCTGTCACCGCCGCACTTTTGCGCTCCTTTTCACAACTATTTCTTTGAGAATCACCCTCCCCCATCCCCAAGGCCACGGTAGGATCAAAACAGACCCGTTAATACAAAGAACGTGCCGCCTTCTGCCCGCTCCAGCCGGGCGCCTCTCAGGCCGTCTCGGGGCGGAGAAGGCAGGTTCCGTCTCCGCGTCCCTTGCCGCTTTCGTCACCGCTTCAGTGACAGCCCACACACGTGCCCACCCGCACGGCTTCCAGGGCCCCTGCCCGGGGATGCCGGTGGCTTCCTGGACCCACCTGCGGCGGGGACACCCCCGGGGGGGCCCCGCTCACCCCGGCTTCTCGGTTTGCGGCTTCAGGTGGCTGTGCTGAACAACCACGAGGAGCTGGTCCAGCTGCTTCTCGACAAAGGGGCAGACGCGAGCGTGAGAAACGAGGTAAATGACTCTGCGCCCCGGGAACCCCGGCGGGGGGCGAGCGCGCTCAACATCGCCCTGTGTTTTCTCCTTCAGTTTGGCAAAGGCGTCCTGGAGATGGCCAGGGTGTTCGACAGGCAGGTGGGGACGCTCTCTCCGTCTCTCCAGGCTCACTTGGTGGTACTTAGAAAACACGCGACACCCTCGGTTACAGTCACCTGCTTTCTTTCTCTAGAAAGTGGTCTCCTTGCTGGAAGGAAGGAGAAAGCAGATGCCCAAGAAGTCGGCCGTCCCTTCCGTCCGCTGACCGGGCAGTGCCGCGCTCCTGGAGCCGCCAGGCGGAGAGCCGGGCGTGACTGCTGAGCCCGAGAACGAGATTCCGCACCCGAGGACGTGACGTTCGATTATTTATTTAGTTGAAGATTCGCAGTGACTTTTGTAACATACAACTGTCCCCACTTTGAAATACACTTCTTTCTTTACCTACCACGCGAGGCCCCTGTCGTCACTGGGGCCTGCGCGGGGGGGTGTTTGCTCGCGCTCTGCCGTCTGGACGCAGACGTGAGACAAAATATTCATGTGCCGGAGCTGCAGAAACACGCAGGGGTCTCCCCACCCTGCCCACGTCGTCCTCTGGGCCACTCCGGGGCCTCGTGGAAATTCTCCCCCTCGTGTGGTTTCAGTGGCGGCGTCCCCTCCCGACATCAGACCTTCCCAGAGGCGGTGTCCTGCTGGAGTCCCCGCCTGGAGTGACGCTCCCCCCAAACGTCCAGGAGGCACCTGCAAAGCTTCCTCCCCAGCTGCTGGCCTCCCATCAAGGCACAAACATATTTCGAGACTCCGATGCTGCTCGGTGGAGGCGTCTGGCCGAGGGTCGGCCCTTCTCCCACGGGCCTGCATATCCTCAGGCCTCAGCCACGGGTGGCCCGGCCTGCTGGCGGGTCGACCGCTTTGCCCAAGAGAAGTGCATTACCTTTAGCCTCTGAACAGAGATGTTCGTGGTGCCGATCACGCAGTTTAGAGATGCGTGGGAATTAGCCGCAGCGCGGGCTGCTGGTTGGGAGCGTAGAGACAGGTGCGGGGGGACTTCAATGGGGCAGACACCCTAAAAATCAGCCACATGAGCTAGCAGGCCTCACGCCTTTTGTGTCTCCAGAGAAAAGCTGGTTCCTGGGCCTCACGAGAAGACCAGCCACAGAGGGACACAGCTCCACAGAGCTGCAGTTTCCTCTGCAAAGCAAGGATGGCGCCGGAGCTGGGGGCAGGGCCGAGGGCGAGCGCCCAGCGTCACCGGTGCCGGCCATTCTCAGCCCGATTCCATCTAGTTCATAGGACGTCCAGCTTAGGCGTCGGATCTGTGGGTCGTCCACTGTCCTCTGCCGAGGCACTTCATTAGTGTTTTACCTTTTCTACAAATGCACCTTCCTTTACGTTCCCTGGGTTAGGTTTTATAAATCTCTCTAAAAGTCAGAGCAGAGTCACATCTTTCCAAGGCTCCCGTTCCCCCCCCCGGGGTCAGTGCTGACCTTCACCTCGACTTCATCGCTCAGTGTCCTGCAGACCTTACTCGCGAGCCCCTCTGTGGGAGGAGGGCACGGCCCTTCTCCTTGACGAAGCCGAGGCAACCGGGTCTCACCCTCCTGACCGAAGCCTTGGCCAGGTCGTGGGGCCGACTTCGGTCAGTGACAGGTGGACAGGAATGGCTCCTGCCCCCTGGGCAGATGTCTCAGGAACCCCCATGTCCCCCTCCCTCTGCCACAGGCCAGCCCGGACTCAGGCAGAGGCTGCTACAGAGCCCGGGGCCTGGGGGCCACAGCTCAGCTGGAATGGACGTGACCTGTGAGAAACGACCCTTCGTGCTGCAGGTCCCTGGGACTTAAGGGAGGTTCGTTACTGCAGCGTAACTTAGCCAGAAACAGCTGCTTACAAGGTCCAGTTGGGTGTTTGTGAATTTAATTTCCATCTAGTACACTGGCATCTCTCGGGTCCTATGGTTGCCGGTCTTATTTTATTCAGATGTTTAGAAACTCAGGGATGGATATTGAATTTTACCAAATGTCTTTTTAGCATTTCTGGTAACCATAATATGGCATATTTCCCGGCAATCTACCAATTCCGTGACTTGGATTATTAGATAAAAAAAAAAGTTTTTATTTATTTTAGAAAGAGAGGAAGGGAGGGGGAGAGAGAAGCGTCGATGCGAGAGAAACATTGATCGGTTGCCTCCCGCACCTGCCCCGACGGGGGATCAAGCCCGTAACCCGGGCATGTGCCCTGAATGGGAACAGAACCAGTGACCTCTTGGTGGGAAGATGCTCCAACCAACGGGGCCACCCCAGCTGGGGCAGGAGTATTAGCTTTGCAAGTATTGAACCATCCTGGCGTCGCTGAGGTCCTCCCACTGGGAGAAAGTGGACTCCGGGTTCTGTCTGCTCACATGCTGTGTGTTTGCTTTTTAACTTTTTTCCTTAATGAGATTAGATGGTGGTTTATCTTGTGTTTTAATTTTCCCAAAGAAGCCGCTCATGGTTTTTATTACTTTTACTCTTTCCAATTAATTTATACTTTAAAAAATGTTATTTTTATTGATTTCAGAGAGAGGAAGGGGGAGAGAGAGAGAGAAACATCAGTGATGAGAGTCATTGACCGGCTGCCTCCTGCACGCCCCCGACTGGGGATGGAGCCCGCAACCCGGGCATGTGCCCTGACCGGGAATCGAACCCTGACCTCCTGGATCCTAGGCCGATGCTCAACCGCTGAGCCACGCCGGCCGGGCCAATTAATTTATACTTTTTATTTCTACAAATTCATTCCTTCTATTCCCCCCCAGGTTTGTTTGTTTTTTGTCTCTTTTGTAACTTTTTATGATGGACATTTAATTCCTTTTATCTTTCGTGTTTATTAACATGTGAACTGAGGGTTATGAGTTTCCCCCTCAGCCCTGGGTTACTCGTGTTCCCAGAGGGAGTTTCCTAAATGTTCCTGATGAAAAGCCTCCACTGGGTCCTTTTAACACACACATCTCTGGGCCGCACCTCAGACCCTCGGAGCCAAAACCTCCAGGGAAAGGACACGAACCACGGATTTTAAGGAGCATCCCAGTGAGTCCTCACGATTCACGGGGTGTGAGAAGCAGCCAGAGGGCCTGCTGTTTCCAAAGTCCCACTCAGCATTTTCTAGGTAATCTGTGATTCATCTTCAACTTGTCACGTTCCTGCAGCAGAGGATGTTTGCTGCTTTTAGTGCATTATAATCTTGAGACTTTGTAGTATTTGGAATTTCAGTTTACTTTGTGGCTTAATATACAAAACCATATATATATGTAATTTGAAAGAAGGCGTGGTGTTCTGTATGTTTGAAGTGCTCCACTCACTACACACCCATGTGAAGTACTTACTAACCGTGTTTGAGGTCCTCTGGGTACGTGTTTCTTGCATCGTCACGGGTGGGGGGTGGCGAGTGCACAAAGGCCTCGTTACTGTTCCGTGTATCTAGTTTTCTTTGTATTTGCTTCGGTTCTTTATGAAGTGAGATGCTATTTTTTTTTAATTGTAAATAGATTTCTAGTATGCTTAGATTTTTATTCTGGATAAGCCTTGTGTGAGTGTTTCTATCTCTGCCTGTTTGCCTTTTGAATTTGTCTCTTCTGTAAATGAGTTATAAAAGTTTATTTTGGTAGAGTCTGCATTCATGTTGTTAAAAAAAAAAGTATCAGGCTCCCCCTGGCCCGGGTGTGTGTGGAAGAGGCATCTTCTGTCCTGTGCTGTCCTGTGGCCGGTTCACGTGGTGGCAGCCGGCACCCCCAGCCCGTTCCTCGCTTACAAGCTGTTCCCCGGCTCCCTCAGGCGCCTGTAAACGAACGGCTGAGAAGAGCCGCGTTGTCCCCCTTGCCCCCCCCCCGTTTTGGTAACGCCCTCAGTGATGGATGAGACACCGCTTCCTGTTGACCTGTATACCATTTATTGGATATAATATTCTTAACAATGACTTTTTCTGTGGAAATAGCAGGTTGTGTTACCTGGAGGATCTCAGTACGAGAAATGTGTACAGAAGCAACGGACAGTAACAAAGAGGTGCGTGAAAACAGTCAGCAGACCAAAGCTGAATAAATGGACGAAGCACAATGAAGTTAATGTCCCGCTGGAGCAGCTCCAACTCCGCACCACGCCGAGCAGCCTGTCACCAAGCTGTAAGGAGTGATGCCACGTTACGTGGCCCACGCCCACACGGGCCTGCCCGCTTGCCTCCCACAGCGACCGCGTGGGGGGGCACAGGGGACCCCAGCTCTGCCTCTCCCGCCCTGCCTTGGGTGCTTGGCGGAGCTTGGTTTCTGATTTGATGAACTCCAATCACGGTCCCACTGAAGCTATAGCCCTCCTTCCGCTTCTCTGTAAAACTAAAAGGATCACACGACATTTATTCTCTCGTCTGGATTTAAAATGTGCTGGGTTGAGGAGGAAACATTTGTTTTAAGGAGGGGGGACCCACAAGGAGGCCACAGGACACGTGGCTTTCTGTGGCCGCTGCCCCCTTCTGGTCAGAGAGTCTGTAGGCGGAGGTCACGGCGGGTCCGTGCCCGCGGGGGGGGCCCCGCTGCCTCCAAGGCGGCGGGGCGCTGACGTAATGCCCTGCCGCAGCCCTGGAGGAGGCTGGGCTGTGGGGGCGCACCGGGTGGCCTGTGGCCGCCACCGTGGCCTAACGTGGCCAAGAGCACAGAGGGTGTCAGAGGCCAGAGAGGCAGCAGCACTGCGTTTGGGCTGAGAAGGGAACTTGTGTCTGGTGAGAAGCCCAGGCGAGCGGACGTGTCAGCCTCGGCTGCCTGCGTCCAGGTGAGTGGACGGCTTGCTCACGGGCCGCGGGGGGCCGGCGGCCTCGGGCTGGCCTCCGGGCGGCAGGAAGGAGAAAGGACGGCACCTGCCCCGTGCCCCACCCGCCAGCCAGAGCATGCGAGAGCCACAGCCGGGCATCGGGCGGCCCCGGGAGGCTTGGGGGGGCTGGTGTAATGTTTGTCTGGGTCACCTGTGTTTGGCTGGGTGGTTTTGATGGCAGGGAGACGGGGTCTCCCAAGTCAGCCCTGGGCTCCCTGCTCCCAGGACACCCCAGGGAGCCCTGCACAGCCAGTGTTCAGTGAAACAAACCTCAGGAGGAGGGACGGCAGGGGTGGGGGCGGGGAGAGGGAGCGGGACCTGCCCCGCTGCCCGGGGTGGCGCCCTGGCAGGTCTCAGGTCTCGTTGGCTCAGAGCGCTCAGTAAACGCGGGGGAGAGGCGGCCGAGGGGCCTGGGCGCCCAGCACCGTGGAGCCCCAGGCTCCTGAGGACGGCCTGTCACAGACCAGAGTTGTTGGGGTGCTTCGCAGGGACGCACGGGCGTGCTGTGCCGATTGGCCTCAGCCCTCGGCCTGAGGACCCCTCGTGAGGTTAGGAGGCATAACCCCCCGAGACCGGCCGGGGCGTCCCCGCGGGCGGCTGCGCCTGTGGCCGCTGTGGTTCCGGGACGTCCTCCCGCCTGTGTGAGCGGCAGAACCTCGGGGGAAGGGAGCCCGCGGGCGCGTTCGGACAGTGGAGAACGCTGCGCGCTGTTTCAGTTGCGACACATCCGAGTCCGTGTGTCGGGAAAACAAACTGTTACCAAAACACTTCAGGAGATAAACGTTTCGGCGGAATGCCTGGGAGCCTGGCCGCGGACTTGCCAGTAAAGGGGGGCGGGCAGGAAGGAAGGGGGCGCCCCTCAGGGCCGGCTTCGTGTCCAGCAGGCTCATGGGCTCCGCGACGGCCCTGTACATGCGAATCGGCCCCGTACTCACGCCTATAAAACTGTATACATGAGAAACAGGCTGCCCCTGAAATATAAGTATTGATTTTTGTTTCCATCACCTGCGAGGACATAAAAAGGGAGGAACAGCATCCCCACGGGACCCGGCTGTGGGTTCCTTCCCCGTGTCCCATTACAGTGGGGGTTGTTGCTAAACACGCGGCAGCCGCTAAATATTGGGCCTCGGAAGTGCTGGTCCTTTAACAGCACGTGTGCTGCAGGGGGGTCGGGTCCCACCCCTCTCACTTGGAGACAACCGTGTGGCTCTAAAAGCGATGGGCGCTGCGGGGTAAGAGCGCCTCGCCCGCGGCAGCCGTTACAGGCTCCGGGGACACGGCGAAAGATACAGCATTAACCTCCGTCACCGCCACGCCCCCCGGCTCTCTGGGGTGGCACAGGAATGACAGCGAAGGACAGACACACGCGTTCCCAACCGCGCCCTCCCCGCGGGAGGAGGGCCTGGGCGCCCCCCGAGGACCTGGGCGCCCCCCGACAACGCACCATGGGCGTTCTGTAAACTTCTCACTGTGCTTTGGCCTTGACACCGTCACCACGTGGGCGTGAGGGCAGTCCCATCACCCCGGCGCCCATCACGGTGACGTCCGCCTGGCCTGTCGTTTCTGGGACGTTAGCAACTGCATAACAGACAGACACGGGCCAGGAGGGCGGGGTGTGGGGGAGCTGGGGCCCCTTCTGTGCGTGCTGGCCACGTGCACGCGTGACCCGCGGTCGCGGGCCCCGTGTTGCCCAGATACGGGGGGGCTGGGGGGAGCTAAGCGCAGCCTTGTTTCCTGAAGGCGAGCCAGGAACCCCGCTTGTCTTTCTGCTTCAAGGCACTGAAAACCCACTGCGATGACCCCAGATGAAGCCTTCGCCACGAAACAGTGAATTACGGAACCGCTGTCGGCCGCCCTCCGGTGGCCCCACCGTAAGACAGAGGCAAACGGCCTTGTACCTCGGCTGCGTATTTTACACCGTTCAGGCCACCGGCACGGGCGTCCTCAGGATCTCCCCGGGAAAACGGCCCCCCGGCCAGACTTCTGCGGAGTCAGAGGTCCAAGGGACTGCCGCCCAAGACTGCGCTCCATGACTATTTAGGACTAAGAACTTAACTTCCCTGTCAGATTCTGCGATGCTCAACAGGTAGGTGGCAAGTGTTTAACAGACTCGGACTTTATGCTCAAGACATCCTTTAAAAATTCCTGCAGCCAAGCTGGGAAAATAGGATGCCCCCCGGAGAACTTTCTGGTAACCTGCGGTTCTTTGTCCGGCAGATGCTGACAAGGACGGCAGACACCGCCAATACCAGCGGGCACAGCATCGCACGTGGTTGTAGGTTTTGCAAGTGGAGGGCTTCCGCCTAATTTTTAATAAGCCGGACCTTGCAATAAAGGGATGTTTTTATCCCCAGAACTGATTCACTAGATCTGGTTACTGGTTCACATGTGAGAGTAGTTACGGTCCCTCAGGAAGCCCCGTCCGTCCATCTGAACACAGAATTGTTGCGTCCAGTGGAGAAGACAAGGTGGGGCTTTGCTTAGCTCCAAACAGGACGGGGCAATAGGGCTGCAGAGCCTGGGCAGAGCTTCCCTGTAGAAACACCACCTGCCCAGCCCAAATAAGGTGCCGATGGCAGGCTCCAAAAGGGCAGCCAGGGAAAGACATTCTTGGTGTTTGTAGAAACAAGATGTTTGGCCTGCTCTCCAAATACACTCATGGCCGGGGAGCTCAGGGTCAAGTCTCGGCCTGGCCCGGCGCTCTGATTTCTGTCCTGGTGGGGCCACGCCTCAAACTTCCTCCCTGAACCCCAGGCTCTCCCAAAGCTTCCTGACCACAAGCCAGATGCTTCCCTGCGATCCTGGAGCTTGAAGGTGCCGCCCCCGGGGGACCAGCCTTTCAGCCTTGACAGGGCCCAGGTCTCCCTGCAAGCCCAGCACAGCCTGGACCAGGAGCCCCTGGCCCTGGGCCAAGGTGACGGGGGCCAGAAACTCACTCGGGGTTCCAGCTGGGGTCTCTGGAGCCGTAACCACAGCCCTGACCAGCTGGGGAACTGCTCTCCAATAAAGGCCCGACCAGAAAGTCCACGTCCTGTCCAGAATCCCAGAAAGCATTATAGTTCAAGTTCACTAGACTATTAAAAGCACAGGAAGCCTTCCTCCCGCGGAAAACTCAGTGACGGTGAAAACGCCCACGACAGTGCGCCGCACCGTGCCGAGCGTCCCGCATAAATTAATAACTTACAAGTACCTGAGCAAGTACACACAGCACCAGAGCACAGCACCGACGGCAGGAGCCCCAAGTCCTCAAAATAACGGTGTTCTCGACATCAAAAGTCTAAGAGTTGGTACAAAAAACTAACTCCACCTGGAGCTGAAAGATAGTGCAAACTTGTGTCTTCACTGTTGAAAAGTGGCAGTTGGCTTCTCACTTAGCGTGGGCGGCATGGGCGGGTCTGGGCACGTGGAGTGGACGCTGGGGAGCTGGTCTGTATCGAGGGGAGAACAAAGTCAGAGTTAGAGGCCTGCAGAGTGGCATGGGCCGGTACCGACGTCTGCGGCTGGAGGCCTCATCCTGGGCTCTGATGTAAGTTCAGGGTCCAGTCTCAGCCCTTCCTTCTGGGGCCTGGGGACCCCTCTGGGTTTCGGCAGGGGCTTCCCAGCGCTTGGGGACTTCTGACCACTAGAGAGCCCTCTGCAAAGCAGAACCTCCCATCCACAAGGGGGCCCTAGAGGGGCATGACGTGAGTTGAATGTGTCATTCAACATTTTCCAGTAGCCATATAAAAAACAGTAAGAAAGAAATCAATGAAACTTTAATAATAAATTTCATTTAACACAATACAGCCAGAGCAGCAGTATCTCAACACAAGAGGTTATTGAGATAGCTGACATTTTCAGATACTTAGTCTTTAAAATCCAGAGTGGGCCGGCACTCTTACCAGCCAGGGTTACATGGAGCCTGCCAGGAGCGAGCCTGGTGTGTGGGATCCCGGAGAGTGAGGGTGCAGAGCATCCTCTCCTCCCAGGACAGCCCACCCCCACCAGCACTGTGTCAGGCACGGCAGAGGTGACGGTCACTGCTGGAGGCCTTCCCCTTGCTGTGTCCCTGCAAAGCAGTGCTTTTCCTTTTGAACGAGCAAAGCGACTCCCAGACCAGCACGCAAACCACAGTGGAATCGTTAGGATGCTCTGCGATTTTTCTGTGTTTACGCAGTCAGGAACCAGACCATGGTCCTGACCCTCTGACTGCCCCCTCTGAGATTTATTAGACAGCTCACTCTTCCCCAGGCCAAGCATTTCCCCCAAGCTGTAATGAAATCACTAACGGTGCCTCCCTCCTTCACAGATACTGACTTAGTGAACCCGGGGCCTGGCTCTTCTGAGCTCATAAAGCAGGCTTCCTGCCGGGGGCATGCACGGCAGAGGAGGCCTTAAGGCGTCTGTGAGCTGGGGTGGGGGCGGAGGGCCTGCTTTGCGGTGTTTGCCTGTTTCCAAGGGGCACAACCCCTGCTACGCACAGGACGTGCCTGAACACGGCAGCGCTGGGCAGGGGCCACCACCAGGCAGTGCTGCCCCACAAGAAACAACAGTGAAGTGTAGTAAAAAATGGGAGGGAGGCGTGTTGAGCATTTATTACACCTGTTTTTAAATATTTATGTCATTATAAGTATCTAAATTAAGTTTTCATGGTGGCTGGGTTTAACACCTAGCTCTCCAAATTCCTTGAAATCGAATACTCCCGGAACCCCGCGCGGCTGGTAACCTCGCTGCGTAAGTAAGCAAGCGTGCAGGACGGGCCGGCTCATCCTTGCTGGGACAGTGAGAGGTGCCCACGGCTGCAGCCAGTCTCTAAGGTGAGTCCCTTTGTTCACTGTCCCGAGAAGCTCCCACCATGCCAGGGGTGGTCCTGCCTGCAGCTTCGTCAGCCGAGCTCCTCACAGTCCCCTGTTCCATCTGACCCCTCGCCTCTGGCTTCTCAGGACCCCAGGGGCCAGCAGAATCTACAGAAGACTGAGGTTTTTGGGAGGTGTGTGTCCAGCCTTCACAATGTAGCATCACTAGGTAGTTTTTCATCTTTGTCTCTCGGGGGGACATGGGCTGGCCCATCTTACCAGCTGCTGCTTTCTGGGGTGCACTATCTAGTTCTCCTGGGCACACTGGGCCATCGCTAAGAGTGACACAGTCATGCCCATGATGATAAGCTCACGGTGGCCGCCTGGTGGTTTTTCTAGCTGTCCCCAGGTGTGGGGGTGCAGGGAGCCTGGCCTAGACAGCTGTCCCCCATCTTGCAGTGGCCTGAAAGCCATGGCTCAATGCCACTGCCCCACACAGCGTGGGGGAGAAAGACATGGGAGTGTCCGTGTCACACCCACCTGAGGGGTGCCAGGCGGAGCGCTGACTCCCGCTGTCCGGGGGTGCTGGCGGAGGCGGAGGCGTGGGCGAGCCGGGCGGCCTTGCTCACGGGCACTGCAGGCAGGGGCTTCTGAGGGGGGCTGGGCTTCCGAGGTCCCTGCAACGAAGCACAAGATGGTAGGTGACCACCCATCACTGTGCACTGTGATGGGACACTGACCACTGGGGCCACCAGAGTCCCCTGAAAAGTGGGAGCCGGAGCCGGTGAGTTGCTCTGCGGCGTGGGTCTTATTTCCTGAGCACACTGTCTGAGTCCTGTCCTTTCACCACACCGATAGGGATAGCAGGGGTGGCCTTTGCTAAGCTTCCTGCCCTGATTGCCTCTCATGTTTAAAAGACGCACCCACAGCACCGCGGGGTTACAGACACTCAGAGGCGGTCTTCAGACTCCCTGCGCTCCTCGGGCCCCTGGGGGATGGTTGGTGCGTGGTTCTGGGCCAGTGCTAGCCGGGCAAACGCTCCTGTCTTTGGGCTTCTTTGCAATCTGTCGAGACCTACGTGGAGAAGCTGGCGAACATCTTTCTAAACATCCCATTTGTTGCTCCAGGTTTCCCCGAATCACATAACGGGACTCGTTCAGGGGTGGATGGTCATCACCCACCGGGCAGGTCAGCTCCTCACAGTCCCCTGTCCCGATGCTCGTGAGACACACTGAAGTTCTTCTACAAAATGCTTTAACTATTAGACCAGAGCACCACGCACTCACCTGGGAAGGGGGCCAAGAAGGAAAGTCCGAGGCACAGAGGTCTGAGGGTGGGGACAGCTCTCTAGGGGAGCCACTGGGAAGGCATGACGTTGGCCAGAGACCAGCCGGGGAGTCAGCACGAGGGAGCGTGAGCTTGAGGGTCATTCTCACCTGGGTGTTCGCCAGGGACCAACACTTTGGAACTTGTGAAAGTCCCCTGATCTCCCTGAACCTCAGTCTCTCCCTCTGTAAAACGGGAGGGAAACAAGGCCTATCTAAACAATTCATGGGAAGCTCCCAGAACACAGATAACAATTGTTAACAGCACCAGCCTTCCTTTCTGCCACAGATTTAAAAATGCTTAATGGAAATATGAGAAAAACAACAGAAACAGTGTAACAGTAAAACCACAAGTCACTTGTCATGGACTCCCCCCGGCCACTGTGGAGGGGTCACTGGGGCCGGGCTGGGAAGCCGGTCAGCGTCCTCCCCCTGGGCCCACGGTGAGTTGGCTGCTGGGTCCCTGGAGCCCGGAGCACCGAGGAAGGCACAGGAAGTCTCAGGGGAGACAGGGCACCCCAACCAGCAGTGCTCCAACCCACTGTCCTAGGCCCTGGATTCCACACGCCCAGGGACACTCGAGATGACTTTAAAACCCTCGAGGTGAATTTCTCACAGCACTTATCCCACTGAAACGGCATTTCCCCAGCAGCCGGAGGCGTGGCTGCAAGGATCCGACAGTACAGTCTCCTCGCGCCGCCTCGTAAACGGAGGGGGCGCCACGGAAGCCCGCGGGCCTCAGCTGCGGGAAGACACGGGAACACCGGGGACACCGGGGCAGGAACGGGCCGCGGAGCAGGGGCAGACTCGAAAGGGACATCTCTACATCAGGTCTCGTTAAAGGGAACACTAACAGGCTGTGGAATGTAAAACGAACGCATTTCTTAGCTGGAATGAAGACCAGGTGATGTGTCTCACGCCGCGAGCCCTGAAGTCGGGCTGCCCCGCACCCAGCTGGAAAACACACGTGAAGTATCTAAGCGGAGAGGGGATGGGGACAGTCCCTTCCTCCCGGGGCTGGGGTGGGGACTCAGAGACATCGCCTGCGCATTTCTCGACCCAGCGAGGCTCTCAGCGCGGGCCGGGCTCCCCGCGTGGGCCTCGCGTGCTGCGGCCCCGCGGCAGTTACCGAGGGACCGATTCACCACCCAAAAGCCCGCGACCCGCCAACCAGCTCTGGGCGATAAACTAGGGCAATAAACCGAGCTCGGTTTCCTAGATGGGGCAGCAACCCCAAGCAAGAGATTAGTGTACGATGTAAAAATGAATGTAAGCGCCCATAAAACGGAAAGACTCTCAGGATTAAGTAATTCACTGTTAAATGATACTTAGTATGAATAAGTATCCAAAGATAAAGCCAGGTTCTTACTGCAGTGGGGGGGGGGGG